GAAGCTTTAGATGCATGGGTAGCAAGTGAGCCACTAACTACAAATCTTCCTCTTTTCCCGGGATTAGAGCTTGTCTTCACTGATGTGTTAATTTGTAGTAATGTCCCTTCCATGACTCATCTCCTAGCCTGAAAACGCGTGGCTCCATTTCTCTGGTGATTTAGATGCAAACTACCCGGCAAAGGAATAAAAAGGCTCAGCCTGGGAGCAGAAGCCAGCAGCTGCTGATGCTCAAAGCCAGGCTGTGGTACCGCTCCAGAGGCAGAGCAGGGAGGATGGCAACCAGCAGCAGGTGGAATGGAGAAAGAGATTAAGGAAATTGTGGAAAAACGGCTGTCAGCCCAGTGGGACCCATAAAACAACTTCTGTCCACACAAGAGTTTCCTTGGTGTAATATGAAAAACTTACAGAACACGAACAGGTAGTGCTGCTGGACTACAAATGAAAAGGTAGAGTAATAGGTTCCATCAGTTCACTTCAATATTAACTTTTGAAGTAATTCAGATCCTGGGTTCCACTGTATTTTACTTTAAATGTCATGCTCCTTTTCCCTGTGAAAAAGCAGAAGCCAAGACAGACTATTTCTATTTGTGGAAGACAAGGCTTTAATGAGAATATTTTCCCGATTTTGGCATTCACTTCATAACAAGGCACTTTTCGAGCAAGCCCAAAGAAAGACTAGTTATTAAATGAACTGTAGCAGCTGCAGCCTGGGTATTACAACTTGCACATCTAGTTGAAAACAGACCTTACCTCAAATAGCTAAACACTCACAAGCCTGACAGTGCAGATTTTCATCAATATTTGTTTAGAAACATTAGATTTCCTTGCCAAGACTGGACTACTTAGAGCCATATATCTAATTCCAGAATCAGGCTATCCTTGTTGTGAGTTTAAACTGGTAAACATCATAAAATTTAGAAGAACCAAGGTCAGCTAGAAAGCTAACTGGTCAAGCAAACATTTTCTTTCTTTGAAGATAAACTTATTTTCTTTTACCTTCCCTTTTTTTATCCACACCCCCAAGAAAACTCTCAGCCAACCAGCCAATCAAAGTGGAAATGTACTTCAAACACATTCAGCTCAACCAAGTTTTCACTGCTGTCCTTCTTGGTGGTCCGTCATATGGAAAGGTTTTAATACTTGGAAGCAATACCTTAAGTGTCAGAAAACAAGAACATTTTATTTCTGCAAGAAAGCTTTCCAGTACTACTAGTATTTTGGAAAAGAAAAAAATTCCTTGTAGTAGATTAAAAGGTGAAAAGCCAAAAGAAATCAGAAAGAATACTAGGAAACTATTCCTTATGGCAAGGTTCAACATGTATCTCAAAGCTGGAGAAAGGGCTATTGCTTCTATATTCATTTCATAATGTCATTTATTTTCATACATTTATTCAGTTATTTAATTATTTTCATGAATGGTAAGGGGAGGGGCATATTTTTTTCTAATCTCAAATTTCTAACAGCAGTTGAAGTCCTTGACTATGTATCAAAATCTGTTTGGTACTAAGTAAGGTTTAAATTTCATTGACTCACTAAAATTTCAGAAATTAAGGATGCAAAGTACTGATACAAGACATCATGTGGTGAACAACACAGAAGCCTTTAGAAAATGTTTCATTTAAACATTTCTACATTTCTGTCCTTTGGGATCCCTCAGAAGTATTTGCTTTGAATCACTGTTTTTCACTGAAGTGCAGCAATAAATGTGTCAAAACTAAAATGTTCCACTGTATGCAAATGTCACCCCAGTGAATCAAAGTGTCAGTATTTAATCAGATCTTTAAAGGTATTTCCCTCTATAGTCATAGAAGTGGTAAAAAACATTTTCACTGAATTTTGAAAATATCAAGCCAAAGAATTTCATCTGCATGTAATTCTTAAATACACATAGAACAACAAAATATGCAAAGAGGTTAGTGCAGTCCTGTACAAAAATGAGAGCACAGTCCTGCCAGATTAAACCAGAACAAAATGTACTATCTTGCATGTACAGCATGAATCCATGTGTAATTCTGCTGGGCTAGAGCAGAGTACAGTGTGTTCCTATTAAGATTTACTCATCTTTCATTTCAAACTGTAAGCTTGTCATTTCAGATAGCAAATACTTTTGAATATTTAAGTAACAGCTAGCTCTATTTTACTGAGATTACTTACTAACAAAGGAATGAATGATTCTGATTAAACTGGCTCCCTGCTTGAAAAATATCACACACAACAGCCAAAGAAAACCCCTTTGAAACATTCCTGTGTTTGGAGGATGTAAGGAAACTAATCTTGGAGCATGACGATGATGATGCTGCTATATAAAAATATTATCCGTCTCTCACTGGAAATGTTACTGGCCTGGAGAAAAGGAACAGTACAAGGGGGAAAAGGGCACACTTGGGAAGATAAGGAGAGATGGTTTTCCTGCAAGTGTCTCAAGACTGGATAGCCAAAAGAACACAGGTTGTGAGCCACCCTCTTCTCCACAGTCTCAGGAGCCTCTCTCCCATTTTATCTGTTCTGTTCTCTTCCATGGACACAGGAGGAGGGATCACCTCCACAGCAGACCAGATCAGACTGATCTAATGTTTTACTAAAGTGCACAAGGTTAGTTCAATTTTCAGGTGTAACTTGGGATGCACAGGAACACCAGGACTCTGTAGGGATGCCCAGAGGGCAATTCTGCACATCAGGGAAAAGGCAAAAATGTATTTCTCAAAGGCCAGCAGCCCTTACAGTAGGACAAGATAGAAAATAAATTGCTAAAACTAAATTAAGGAATTAAGGTGTGTGAGAAGATGCTGCTGTATTCTTTATTTATGTGGTAACCTTACAGTACTGATTCAATTTCTGTGTTGGATAGGTTAAAATGGGCTTTCAATCTATATATATATTTCTCTCTTTTTATTCACCTGTATATTCTTATCACATTTATAATGTATCAAACATATCCATTCCAGCTTATAAAAATTCAAGATATTACCCAGTGAAGACTTCCATCCATTCATAGCAGTAAATACCAGTAAACGTCATAAGAAAGAGTTGAATGGAGCACAGAAAACAAAGATCTAGTTTTCTTATCCAGTTTGACCATGATACAATTGAGTTTTATATTAACATTGCAGCAAAAGTATAATTATAACTGCATATTATTACAAACCTATGATTAATTTCCCTGAAAATCACAGAAAATCTTTTTATTCACCAAATAAATGCTTGTTTACTTGCAGGAAGATAAAGCTAGAGATACAGATCAATTCACATCTGCATTCAATGTATTTATAACTTTTAATAAATAATGCTTAGGGACTGAATTTTCCCTCTGAAGAAACTACTGCTAATACAGTTGCTTTTACTTTTAACATTTTGATGTTTCAGCATCACTTTCAGTTCCAGGAATTCAAACTAAATTTCATACTGCTAAGTGTCTGGGAAGAGCAGGCTTCAAAACTAAATCACATTTATGAAATAACAGAAGCTGGCCATATCCTAGATCCAACTCAGATCTCAATGGAATTAATGGAAAACTTTCCAGCAAATGGAATTCTTTCCATCAAATGGAATTGGGCTTTGAACTGGCTTCTGTATAGAGCTATGCTGGTATTTGAGGCTTTTTCGAGGGATTCATTTTGTTTGTTTTTTAATCAGCTATATTATTCACATAGTCCAAACAGTCTAGTCACAGACTCAGACTAAGCCTCTGTTATATTTGATTTATCATCTTCTTGAAAACGTGCTCCATTAAATGGAAACTATTCTGATCAAAGTGTATAACCTTTATAGTGTTTTCAACTACTGTCATTAAATGCAGCCTGAGTTGCAGCTGCATTTTACTGTCCTATAAGTTATTGCTTTCCCAGGTGTTTAGTCCAAGGAAGGTCTTATCCAAAAACCTTTTCTGTTGATAATCAAGACCCTCTAGGGAAGCAAACGTATGAATTATTGTAAACATTTAAACTAAATTCAAACAGTTCACAGTGGCTCAACATGCTTTCTATTGTAGCTTTTCTTCTTCCTTTTGTCAAGCTAAAAGCATTGCCAGTTTAAATCTTAAATAAACTCACCTCAGTTTTCTCTTCTAGGATAGTGATGAGCAAACTGTTTTCTTCAAGTAGCTCCTGCAAGGAGCCCATCTTGCAAAATAAATCTGCCCATCCCTGACAGAACCACACCTTTGGATGCAGGGGAAGTTTGTCTCTTCTCTCACTTCTACGGGGAGTGTTTCCTAACAAATTCCCTCCTCTTAGATTAAGAAATGTACTGTAAGTGTCTATAAATGTAATTCAGACAGTTTTGATGTGAAATTCAACTGACTCCTGGAACACATTTTGTTACGAGTAAATTTCCACAGCACACCACACATTTCCTAGGTTTACTTCAGATCTTCTGCCAAGATTAACAGCATTTCTTTCATGTTGCTTTCTTTACATTTATATCTATATTCCATGTTTAAAATAATGTTTCTGTGGGACTGGAGAAAGCATTAAAATTTTTTAACTTAAAAAAAATTTGTTTATTTCTAAACACTGTTCCATCCATTATTCCCATTTGTTTAAAATTTGCCCAACCTTCCCTTACAAAACCTTCATTAACTAATACAATATTCTGATTTTTCACAAGCTGGAAAATGCAAAATCTGCCTAACACTGATTTTTCCATGAAACAAATTAGGTTAAGTCAAACAATTCACAGAAAAGCAAATCACTTCTAATTCTACACCTTTTGCAGATATATCTACAAACATCTATTAATACATCACTAAAATATTGCTGCTTTTTTCTCCATTACACCCTATTAATATTTTCCAAAAGTGGTTTCACTTATTAGTTATGCAACTAAGTGCCTTAATTTAGATTTTGAGCAGTGTGTTATCACTCAACTTGCTATAAATTTGATGTGCTTTCAAAAGATAAGAAAACAGGTTCAGACTCTCCAGCTGTTTCACAGTTATCTTTATGTCAGAGTTACATGAATCAGTTAATCTCGTTCATTTTCACACGTGGGACACTGACCTGGTCATCGTAACGGTAAGTGAGGAACTGCTCCCCCGTGGTGTCCTCAAGAAAACTCCCCTGTGGAGAAAGTGCAAACTCAGGCAAGAAGTATGCACCTTGGGACTGCTCTGCTCTGGTCTGTAAGAAAGTCAGAAAGGTCACGTTACACCTACTACAAACACAAGTAATTTTTTTTTATTTTAAACTATGCATATAATTAAAAAATCTAGGATGAACTTCTGGAGGGGAAAAAACAGTGTTTTGGTTTTTAAGGCATGGTATATCTGGGTGGATATTTTGCTGTGATGGAGACATGCTAAATACCTACAGAGGTTCAAACCAAAACAAAATGCCTCAATTGCAGAATAACCTACTAAACAAAGGAGACAATGCTTATCAAACATCACTGGTCAAAGACATTCAAAAAGCAATGTTACATTTTCTTTTTCCTCATACACTTCGCTAGAGAAGTAGGTGCTGCAGATAACAGGCTTTTGGTTAAATGCAACACATTTATTTTTACAGGAAGAAACAAAGAAAGAATCATAGATTAACTCAGCTGAGAAAATACCTTGAGGGCTCATCTAGTCCAAAAGGAATGAATTACTTTCCTATCCTGCAGGAAGATATTACTGTAAAGAAGAAATAGGGAGTGGGAATGACTGGAGCTAGCACAGGCAGTGCTCTATATTAGTTCAGGATGCTACTCACAACTGGAGAAGAGCATTTGAGAACACACAGGGAAAGAAAAAAAGGGCTCATTTCAAGCTACAGAGGAATGAATTCTGTCAGAATCATAGCTGGTACCTCCAGCTGGGCTGTCTGACACCTGGGCCCTGATTAGAGAAACAGCTTTTGCTCAGAGGATCTGTGCCTGGTCAGCCATCACAGCACACCTGAGGAGTGCTCAACACAGCCAGCCCGGGGCCAACAGCATCTCCCTGCACTGGAGGTCTCAAGCAAGCCAGATATGCACAAATGTTATTCCCAGACTCTTCTGCCCTTATTCCTCCTGCATTGAACACTGCCCTGAGAAGCCAACAGGTCTGCATACTAGAGAAAATAAGCAATCATCTTTTGAATGCAAAATATTGAGTCCAGCTGTGTAGTGAGGACAGGGCAAGGAGATGAACGCTCCCTTCCAAAAGGTTGAAACCTTTCAGAGAAGAAAAAAAGGCCTGAAATGTGCAAGTTACTGCTGGACATTTTCCAATTAATAAACTTAATAAATAGGGATGTAATTAAACTGTATATTTTGACATTTACACAGCAGTTTCACATGAAAGCTGGCAGTTGCCATCATCCAGTTTCTAGACTCTTGGCTAGAACTGTACCAAACAGAGATGCCAGCTAACTAGAGATTTCTAAAGCAATCAACATAATTTAAAGCAGTTTGTGGTGGAAAATGAAGGTAAGACCTACTGCGCTTTCTCTCTTGCAGTAAGTTCACCTTCTGAAGCTGACAATTTATCTCATAAAAAGCAGATGGCATGTCATTTGCAGGATGGTCTGGAGAAGCTTACAGGGCTTTTGCTTACTCTGTTGAGAGCTGTCAGCATCTCAGACTGCAAACCCCATCAGTCATGACAGCATCAGATTAACATACTTGGTTTAAATCAAGCAGTCTTCATATAAACTAGAAATAGCTTGCAAAGGACATGTCTAGACTAGGGTAAAGGTCATATTTCAGCATGCAAGACTGAACAAGATTGTAAAGAGGGTTTTTTCATCAGGATTTTTCATCATACATAAGAGTAATTCACATTCACACTGTATTATCATCACATTTCTATAAAGCTTATTGCAGCAGAGATCTCCCTTCTACCCTTTAGCCAACTGACATTATTTATGCATAATTAAGTAATAAAATCTACATTTGGTAACAACAGTTTCCCCATAAAGCCACCAAAAGAGGTCTGCAGTGCTGCTTCCTGCCGAATCCAAGCTGGCTGCAGCTGATGCAAGCCTTGACATGTGAAGCACAACCCAGACATGAAAGGGGCTGACATAATCTGGCATCCTTCCCCACTGGTTTCACTGGGCTATCCATAGATCCTATGTGAGGGAATATGGCAGTGATGTAATCCTATGATTTCAGCACAGGGCTAATGGATAAGAGATATGCATTCTAAATCTCAAGTGGCCGAGGTTAAAGTACTTATCATTTCTACCTCAGTTTTGCCAGGTGTAAAACAATTACAACATCTACTGATCTATCTTAATGGTGCATTGTTACGTTTAGTTTATATATGTAGAATATTTTGGAAAATAATCCTGTTAAGTGCTAGTGATTTATAACAATGTTTTTGGAAGATTTGCCTAATTTACAGGCAGAAGAGACTCAAAATTACCCCACCATACTTCTTAGCTAATTGTATATATCACACTGTTGCCTAATCTCTCAAACAAATTTGTCAGTAGGATACATAGCAATAAACTTGTTTGCATTTCTCATCTTTGTAATTTAAACATTTAAAATATAAAGTCTTTGGACATTAATCAGTGTTATGCTTTGAATATAAAACATGCCAATATTTGACACTGAAATAGCAATTTGATAAACATAACAAGAAAAATGAGGTGTTTCTAACACACATTCCATTTTCTGGTTAAAAGCTAATGAGCAGCCAGGCACTTCAGGAGCAGAGGAATGCTCACTAGATTCAGGCAAGCAAAATCTGGTTTCCAAACACAGAAAAATTCAGTGTAAAATGTGGATATTTTATAAGGTCACACAGGAGGTTACAGTGGAAACAGATTGTCTGCTGCAGCAATAGGTACTGCTACCTGTCTGGTATAAGTCACGTAAGAAAGAATACCACCAAGCAATTAAAGACAAAACAAAACACCCACTTAGAACACACTATCAGCTGTCATACCAAACTGATATTGAAACCAATGACTTGCATCTGATAACCCAAACTGAGAAATTAATTTTAAAAAAACCCAGATATTCAATTGTTCAAAGAACTATTTTGTATCCACTCCCAAAGCAGCAGAAAAACATTTTTAGCACCTAGATGCAGGCACCTCCAAATAAGCTGCATGTACCCAATGCACTTTCATTCATATATTGTACTGAACACAAAAGATAACGTTTCCACTTAGTCCATTTTATTCACCACTGAGGAATATACCAATGGTCCTTATGAGGCTTTTATATTTCTATGGGCACTTGGGCTTAAATATAATTCAAATTTCAACAGTCTGTGGGTTTATAGTATATTTGAGATCATCTCTGAATGACTTAGCTAATCTGATATAAATTCATGTTTTAAAGTAAAGACTGTAAGTGCAAGCTTCAGAAAACAATTACATTTCATGCAAGTGTTTTAGGTCTGTTTAATGGCCAGTTTAATCTCAATAGCTTTAAATTAAATGTGTCAAGTTACAAGTACACTTAAGATTTAAAGCAGGCATTTTAAACCAGCTTTTATGATCTTAAGCACATGAAGACAGTAGAAGGTGATAACATAGCCAAAGCAGATATAATATTAATACATACATAAAATTCATTGACATTAATATATCATGAAGCAAGAAAGTATATATTACCTACTGACAAAAAAATATATAGAAATTGGAAACAGATCAGTGTTTGAAAATCTTGCTAGTTGATTAGGACATGTAACTTATTCATCAGAAACTGAAACAATAAGGTCTTCCATGCTACATCTTTCTAGCCTTGTGATCGAGGAGAACTATCCTGAGCAGCAAAGTGGGGAGTGTGAAAGGCACTGGGTTTATTCAAGCCTTCTGCTGGAGCACAGCTTTGATGTCAGGCTGGGATTGCTTCCTCACTCACCACTCCCCACCTGAGTGCTGAAAGGCCAAATTATTCTTCCACTTTCAATTGCACAAGACACAAAGAATTGCCTGTAGCCAAGCTCTGCTTTTTACATCTCCTTCCACCAAGAGCTGCACGTTGTTTCTGTTACTGCCCAGCTTCATTGCTCTGTACAACACTGACTAGAAGCTGCTGGAGTTGAGGACTTGATTTTATTGATTTTATTGATTTTATTTAATACTAAGGGTCAGAGGAATGATCACTGAGTGTTTCCCAGCCAACGCTGCCCCTGGCAAGCAGCAAGGCTGGGAAGGACTGAGCTGCCACACAGAGCTGAGCCTCTCCCAGACACTGAGCACAGGAGTGCTGCTGGGGCAACTTCTGGAACATCTGACCCAAAATGAATCCCACTGGCACATTCTGAAACCACCACACAAGGCAATGTACTTTAACTGCTCTTTTTTTTCCTTAATACCCATGTTAGCTATTTTCATGCAGCTTACTTTAAATTATCAAATCACTAAACTGTAGCGTTTTCCATTACTAAAAATTATAAATATTAATCACTGGTCATTCCTTTCAAGTTATAGAGTAACAATTTCATCCAAGGACTTAAACTGCTATTGTAATTTCATATAAATTAAAAAATCTGGTTTAGTCTACAGTTCTTGGAGATAATTTGCTACTAAAGCCAAGACAAAGCTCAAGCAAACCTCATAATAGCATGCTACTATTCTACTTAATCACAGCCACCAGGAGACTTGAAAGTAATTTTTCCATATTTACATGTAGACAGCAGCAGTTTTAGAAAGAAAACTTTCTATTAAATCTGATCTGTGAAGGACAAGAAAATGAGAAAATAGAGGTCTAATGTCTCAAAGAAATTACTTGAACATAATTAGAAATAAAACATTAATATTTCAGGTACAGAGGAATTTTTAATTTTAGAGTTTCTTAGCACCAAGAGCCATAGAGAGAGAAAAGTAAGAACTCTTCCTGTTATGTACACTTAATACATACAAACATTACCTAGACTTAAATCAGTCATTCCCTAATTAAGCCTGTGTCCTTGCTAAAATTGGGAGTATTATGAGAGTAAATTGAAGTAATGCAGAGGAAAGCTTTGAAAATTATCTATTTCAAATGCTGAAAATTACCAATATCATGTTCTTCCTGAAACTGCCTCAGTATCTTTCTTTTTCAAAGAAACACAGACAAAAGATAAAAGGTCCAATGAACAAAAGCTTTCCAGTTATGCACAAGTGCACTACCCTGCCCAAAGTAAATGCTGTAAAGAAAAGAGAAATGCAGTGAATGCAGTTTGCTTTCCATAGTTTTGTGGCTCTTTTAT